AAAGATGAATCTATGTGGTGATCCATATATTATTGATAGTTAAATAAGGTAACAAGAAAGAATAAGTATTCTCTCTTGAGGGTTGAAGATCTGTTTGATCAATGGAAAGTCACAACAGTGTTCTTTAAGATAGACTTTAGGTCAGAATTGCCACCAATTAAAGATTGCAGAGAATGTTAATAAAGGCACCAATGTTTATACAAATTGAGTTGGGTAAAAATTTATATGGTTTTTAGATATGCATCTCCTAACGGCTTATAAAGGGGTTCTTATGCAAAATGATAAAGTTGTGGCATATGCATCAATAAAGTTAAAGAATCGCAATAGGAATTATATATGCATGCATTAGAGTCGACCGTAGTCTGGACATTATAATTTGTATAGTAAGCGGTACTATAGTTGTGGTAATTACAAAAGTCTTATGTTGATTCGAAGAGAAAAGTAATTGAATAACAAGAAAGTGGTAAAGTCTTATGAAAGTATCACTTTGGAAGTAAGTATAGCAATTGGGACTGGATTTTCGAATTATTGAACCTTAATAGATTTTATCAGTTAACTAAAAAAGAGCTAATACAGATCTGGATTAGAGAAATCCATAAATCGCGTAACCAAAAATGATTCCTCTAGTTGTAGTAGTATGGTAAACGAGAAAAGTTTTTTTTTAATTCGAGGAAGAATTTTCTAAAGGGGGAGAATTGTAATACCCCAAATATTGAATTAGGGACTTTATCGAAAGGATTTAAAAATATGAGCATGTATTCGAGTAAATAACAAAAGATGAGAAGGATCTGTAATAGTGTTTAGACTAAAGTGTATCACTTGATAAAGTAAGAGGGCATTTTGGTCTTTTAAAAAGATAAAGAAATTTAAAAATATATCATAGTTAGGGATTTTAAATAGGGGAAAAAGAGGAAAGTAAAGCATTTCTTTTCTTCTTCTTCTCCTTCATGTGAGTGGTGTTATCCTCCATGGTATAAGGTAAACTTCCATTAGCTAATTCTTTCTTTAAATTATGGGTTGCTTTGGTAACATTAAGTGATATATAAGCTTAATGAAGGATTAAAGAATGTTAAAACTATGAAATGGAGGAAATATGAGAAATTTTAGAAAATGGTTTTTGAAGTGATATGTCAAAATATAAGTGTTTATTGAGGTTTATTGGTAGAATTGACTTGTCATAGAAGTAAATGAGAGATTAGAATTATTAGATGGGATTAAGAACATATAAGAAAAAGTGGTTTGAATCTTAGAATTGAATGTTCTTGAATGATTTTAGATGTTTTAAGAGGATAAATGAAGGAATGTTAATATGGATAGGTAAGGAAGAGTTTAATAATATTATATGGGGTAAATATAACGAGAATTGACCACTTTGGGATGAAAATCGAGTTGAAAACTGGAAATTCTGGGCTGGGGTATCTGTACTGCTAAGAACAGTACTGATACCATAGGCTAAAATGGGATGAAATACCTGAGTAGTATTGATACTGTTTGAATCAGTATCGATACTGACAAGGTAGTATCGATACAATGGTAAGGGTATCGATACCAATCTATATCGAATCTAAAATTGGTATCGATACCAGAAGGGGGTATCGGTACCATAGTAGAGTAGTATCGATACCATGATAGGGGTATCGATACTATAGAGCCATAAATGTTAAAAATAGGTTTATATTGTTATAGAAAGTTAATGATATGTCCTTTTGAGTATTGTTTAAGTATAATGGTTAGAAAATATACTAACTTTGGGTATGGTACATGTTTTAATGGATGCTTGAGTCAGATCGAAACCAAGCTTCCGAGTCAAGCAAAACAAAGGGCAAAGGAAAAGTACCGGAGTAATCCGCCTTACGCTTTGGATGTTTAGCAAGGAAAGTTAGGTGAGTGCATTTAAATATGTACGTATATGTTACGATAGACCTATTTGTATGACTTATTAATGTAAATTTGGTGATTTCTAAAGGACACTAAGTGTGTAAAATAAATGAAATCATACTAAGTGTATGAATTTCAGATAGGGAGTTTTGTACGCTAAAATGTTAAGAAATCATACTAAGTGTATGAATTTCAGATAGGGCGTTTCGTATGCTAAAATGTTAAGAAATCATACTAAGTGTATGAATTTCAGTTAGGGCGTTTCGTACGCTAAAATGTTAAGAAACCATACTAAGTGTATGAATTTCAGATAGGGCGTTTTGTACGCTAAAATGATAAGGAAATCATACTAAGTGTATGAATTTCCATATAGGACACTTCGAATGCTAATATGATAAGAAATTCATACTAAGTGTATGAATTTCTGTATTGGACATCTTGGGTGCTAAAGGACAAGAAATACATACTATGTGTATAAATTTCCGTATGGAAAATATATGGGTATACACATAAGAACTACATAATAAGGAAATGGATCTTTTATTAGTAATGGGTATGCAAACCACATAGATTTTAGAAAGGGTTGATAAATGATGATATTAGCACTAGGGATGTAGATTATGGAATACTTTATGAATTGAAAGATGAAATTGTTAGAGGTTCATAATAAAGGTTGAATTGTTGTAATTGTATTGGATGGGTAATTCATGTAAATTATAGAAAGAAAATTGAGGTATTATTGCACTGACAGTATGAGTATAAACCATAGAATGTATAATGATGGAAAGAGTTAATTGATACGATGAATGATTAATATAGTAGAGACTGCTCTAAAATAAAAGATCAAGAGGCCTAACTGTGCATATGACATAAAGGTGTCCTTTATGCCAATTAAATGAAAGACTAAGTGTCTTTAAGGCCTAGTAGGCATTTGGCAGAAAGGTGTCATTTATGCCAGTTAGATGAACGGTTAAGTACCGTTGAGTAAAAGAATAATGGCCTAGCTGTGCATTTGGCAGAAAATTGTCATTTATGCCAGTTAGACGAACGTTAAACACTAATGAATAAGATAATAAAGGAATTTTAATGTATTGTGATATGAAGGGAAGATATATTTATATATTGTACAACAATGCATAATTGTATGAAAGGATGCCAGAAATGAAATGTATAATAGTGTATCAAAGGCATGAAAGGATGCCATAAATGAAAGGTATAATAGTGTATAAAAGACATGTAAGGATGACATAATTGAAATGCATATAGGTGCATTATAATCATGAATGGATGCTATCAATGAAAATAAAGAATAATGACTAAAGAGATAAATGGAAAAGAAAAATATAAAGGAAGATAGGTATGCTAGGCATACGAAAAAGAATTAAGAAAATGGTGAATGGAATATGGTCTGAATGAGGAGGAGTATGGGATACTTAAAGAATATACGAGTTAGTACAAAATAAATAAATGTGACATATTTACGTATATTTAAAGGTTACATTACGATATTATGTTTCACTAAGTAATTACTTAATGTGTGTTTATTTCACGCGTAGGTAAAGGCATGGATTAGTGCGTAAGGAGTGTAGCAGTAGCAGCAGCTTTCATCAATTAAAGGTTGACTCATCAGTAATATTATGACAATCTTATTCAATTTAAGAACTTAATTGGCATGTAATGAAACTATGGTAAACATTTTATAATGAAATTAATGAATAATTTTAGAATGTTACTATTAGAAATATCCTATTTTTTGGTTAATCAAATTGAAACAATTTTTTAAGGGTTTTCAAATAATAAACATTATTCTAAAAATAATGTGACATCCATATCTCGTGTACGGAAGGGTATATGGAATATGAGTGTTACACATGCTGCCAAAGAAGCCTACCACGTGAAGCTGAAAACGAAATTGTTTGACAATTCACATCTTGCTGCACTTCATAGAGTCGACTGGTTGGTGCACAAGCTGAAAACGGGGTTGCATTCGACATATTGGCTTGTCCGGTATGTGGATGAAAGTGATTATTTTCAGAATGTCAAGGAAGAATACATTGCATCTATGTCTTGGCACCAGATTCCTGACTCTGCTGTTACCTTAAGATGGCAATTGCCATCTATTTGCAAAGGTAGCAAGTCTCAAAGAGAGCAGCATTACACATGCAAGGAAAGTTTTGCAAGCATGTCATTAAGGTCAATATGATGTGTGAAAACGACGAAGGATGCAAACCTTACATGTCTTCTCAATCGTTTGAGAGAGATATTGATGGATCTTTGGAAGAAACGAACAGGTGACTCGATTGTACTAGATGAGTCAATTGCCTGGACCTACAAGATGCTTGCTCAAATCAAACAACTTGTTGAACAGAATGGTTCAAATGATATTGGCATCGCGGTTAATAATATGCCATTGAAATGTGTTTCTAAGAAGGGCAGGACATTTGTAGGTACACTGGGTTCCTTTTCGATCTCTTCCATCTACTTCCAAGACCATCACCAAGAATCTGCAGAAGAAGAATACTAAATGGAAGAGATTATCAAGATTAAGCTGACCATCAAAGTTGTTTCTATGGGGCTATCTTAAGACCCTAAGCCGTGGGACCTGCTGTATTTGCAAACACAGTCCAATATCATCTTCAACTTCATTGCCTGAAGTATTTTAGAAACCAAGCTAGTTTACAAATAGAATGAGTGAAACTTTGTAACTTGTAAATATGTCTAGCTGAACTTGTAAAAAAAAATTGTTTGAGAATCCTTAGATTCGTCAACATTCATTTCTGGAGAAAACTGAAGGCCAAAATCTAGAAAAATATATACAAGCGGCAGAGAAAAAAATACATATATACATGTAAACAGAGGTGGTGAGCAGAAGAAAAAAATCAGAATCAATGCACTTGAAACATTACGTTACCATATTTATTTGACTTGAACCGAAGGTACTTTTCCAAGATAGAATTAATGGAACTCCAAAATGAATCCCTTTTAACTATTAGAAACCATTGGATATGTAAATCAGAAACCATCAAAGAAGCTCTCTCCAGCGAAAGACGCAACTTACAGTTTGGATATGTGGATTGTGGAGTATCGTTTACAGGTACGTAAGCATACCACGACCCTCAAAACTAAGTTTCGTCGCCAGCAGTTGCTTTTTTTTGGGGGGGGGGGGCTTTCAACTGCTGCAACTTTTTATTCATCTGCCAGGAAAAAATTTTGAATTCAGAAAATGTAGCAAAAAGAGAATAAGGGGGATTATGCTTGTTGCACCTCATTCATTCTGTACCACTATTAAGTAAATTTATGGAGACATTAAGAGGGTATTATGTTAGGTTTTCTACTGATGAAGGAACGAAATAAGATAAACATCCCCTTTGGTTTCGTCATTTAATACTAGAGAGAGAAGACAACCTTTAAACGACGCTGCTGTACAACTTGTTTTGCACGAGCTCTAATTTCATCTGGGTCAATCTTAGACTGGGGACGCACAACAAAATCCAATGGTGTTGCATCTGGCCTTGAAGCATGTACCCTTGAAGAAGATTCAGACCTGGAAGCATTTTGGCCTGATGATAATCGACCAGACTTGTGGTCCCTGTCGTTTATAACCAACAAATAGTCAATAGCATAAATGATCAGAATAATGCTGTTAAACCAAATGTTAGTTTTCATCTTACCGAGAAATATCCAAATCAAAATCACCATCTCTAGATTCCATTGATGCAGCTCTATTTACAGGCCTACAAATGAATTTTGGAAAAACCAGTAAGAAACAGCACAATGTGAAAACGCGTGCACATTGTAAGCAAACATGACATCATATTTTGCATAAAACTTTTTTTTTAAAAAGTACCTCTTTACGGGTGGCCTTCGCATTGGAAATCTATCATCATCAACATTTCTCATGTCTTCAAAATTATTAATAAAAGATAATGCATCTAGACAGAACAATTCCATTTATATCCCGAAAAATTCAGCAATCTTTAATAAGAGCACTAGGTTTGAAGACATGAATGTTGAGGAGATGTGCTACTGAGTAAAAAAGACAAAACATAAAGATCAAGAGGCATGACTATTGCTGATATAAATCCAAAGATGATACGAAGGAAGCAGGGAGAAATTTAGAACATAAACAGGAATTTAAACCAGAACATTACCCATTTATCAACCAAATCCTTCGCGAGTTTCCTGTTGGAAGTGGTTTCCTCGTCAGATTTTGATAAGAACATAATGACCTGCACATATATGAATTTCGGGGAGCAAAGAATTAAAACTGAAAGATGCTTCAAAATACAAAGCTGAATGTGATTGTTGTTGTAAGGAAGTTTCTACTTTTCTAAGACCACTTCTCTTTAGCTGCTCCCTTCTATCATGCTGTTCTAGATCAATTTGAAACTGCATGAAAGACACATTTCAGTTTTCATGCAGCAAAACGTCAGGACAGTGACCATTATTACACAGGCAAAAATAGAAAGATGCCAGTTTATACGTCAGTTAAAATCTGCAAAGTAGCTGCACGAATATTTATATTTGGTAAGCTTCCATCAGGAAGGGGTTCAAGCAAAATTTTCAACAAGGTTAAAACTCCATGATCTAAGAATTCTGGTTGTTGTTGCTTCTTGCATAAAGAGTAATTTAAAAGAAGATGAGAATGGACATCTCTAGAAAAATACAAGCAAAGCATATTAACTCAGGTAGCAGTTGTTAACGTTAAGCTAAGAAAACAAGCTTGAAAGCAAAAAGGAGATGAGGAGCAGAAAACAAAAGAAAAGGGAATGCGAAAGATCAAAAACAAGATTGAGAGACTTCAACATGCTCTCTTCCATTCTAAATTTTAAACATGATTACAAAACACAATAGTCTAAAATGTACAGCTGTCAAACATTAGAATAAAAGAAACACTTAAACAGACTCAAAAACAGCTAAAAGACATAATTACAGCTGACATACAAAACATATCTGATTTACGATATAATCTGGGTTGCAACCTAATATCTAGTTTCCAACTTAAATTTTGAGTTGCAACATAAAATTTGATTTCCAATATCATACTCAATACATCAACACTCCATCTTGAGGTCGATATTGGTCATACCAAGCTCATGTTTGAGAAAAGATATTTTATTCCTTGAAAGAGTCTTTGTCATCAAATCAGCAACCTGCATTTCAGAAGAACAAAATTTCATCTTGATCTGCAAATTATTTTCAGCTTCACGAATTGCATGGAACTTTACGTTTATGTGCTTTGTTCTACCATGCTGAAGTAGATTTTCAGCAATTGCTATAGCAAACTTGTTGTCACAAAGTAGAACAGTAGCACCTTCTTGCTCAAATCCAAGATCAGAAAGCAAATTTCGCAACCAAATTGCTTGATTTGTTGCAGCAACAACAACAATGTATTCAGCTTCAACAGTTGATTGAGCCACAACATGTTGCTTCTTCGAACTCCAGCAGATTGCACCCAAGCCAAGGTCGAAAACATATCCAAATGTACTTTTCATATCATCCAAACTTCCGGCCCAGTCACTGTAAGAGTATCTATTCAACAATACACTACCATTCTTCAAATAGTTCAGCCTCACACATTGTGCTTTTCACATACCCGAAACTCTCTTAACAACACCCAAATGAACATTAGTTGCTGAACTCAAGAAACTAGATAACAACGTTGCAGGAAACATTAAATCTGGTCTTGTTGCTGTCAAATAAAGCAAGTTTCCAACTACACTTTTGAAAATAGAAGGATCACAGAGTTTCTCACCATCGTTCTTTGCAGCTTCAAGTTTAAAGGTAATGGTGAATAAACTCCTTTACAAGATTCCAGCTTAAATTTCCTTAGAACATCCAAGGCATATTTCTGTTGTGTAATAAAGATACCAGCTTCATTTTGATTTATTTCCATGCCGAGAAAGTAGCTTATTAAGCTAAGATTAGACATCTTAAATTCCTCTTGCATACTTAACTTGAATGTTGAAAGAGCTTCAACATTGCTTCCCATTACCAACAGATCATCAACATAAAAAGAAACAAGCAAATCAACATTCTCATCTTTTTTAAGATACAAAGTAGCTTCATTAACGCTCCTTTGAAAACCTAACTTCTGCAAATAAGAATCAATTCGATAATACCAAGCCCTTGGTGCTTGTTTCAAGTTTCAAGTTAGCCCCAAGTGAGAGTAGTGGGAGCAGATTATTGGTTTTTGCTGTCTGTCTTGTGGTCGATCACGTTGAGTTCTATGACACCTCATGTCTTGAATTTTTCTGTGAATACGAACTGGGAGCCGCCAATGACAGCGGTGGTTCTGAAAAGTTAGTAAATTATCTTCCTGGTCAGGGGAGTGGACGGAGAAGGAGTGCATGGGTGATCATGTGTTGATTCTATGTCGTAAGGATATGGTTAAAGAAGACAAGAATAATGAGGAGGCATCGTTTCAATTCTACATGAAATATTTCAATAGATATATCTTTGTGGAGAAATATGGAGTTCATGTATTTTATGTGGATGCAGAGAGTTGCACCCTTACTAATGTGATGAGATGTGATAAATCCAACCAGAATTTTGATTCTCAAGAAGATGCTAATACTGAGGAGTGAGGAACCCCATCACCATTCTGGTACAAAAAGGAGCTTTAGTTATAGTGGTGGTGAAGAAGGGGACGAAGGGTCTAGAAGATTGAAATACTTCCGTTTCTTATAAGATTCAACTTTTCGATAATGTCATCCCAATTCATAGGTAAGCCGGTTTGATACTTTCATTTCATTTTTTGTATTACCGTACTTGTATTGCCATTGTCATAAAAAAATTTCAACTTGATTTGAATGAATATAAGGCTAGGAAACAACTTCCATGGGTAACTCTAAATTTATGGTGCATTTACTCATTAATACGCTGATGACGGGCAATTACTTTCTTATAATATGGTTATCAGACATAAATTGCTGGTCATTTACAAAGTGCTATAGGCCTATATATACCATTTTGAGTAAGTGGAACCTTTTGTGATAGTTTTACATAAAATGGGAAATTTGTTCAATAATTTGTGATAGTTGCTAATTATTTTCTTCACCTGTCTTCTTTTGTAGGTATAGAAGAGAATTTCCAGGATGGAAATTGGCTTGGTTTAATTCATAGGAGCAATGGTGGCTGCAATGGCATTCGTAATATGTTCTTGATCCACCAAGTTTGATGTGGTGTTTCCCAGGAAACTAAATTTCAGCAAATTGCTCTTTTCCCCAGAATTATATGAATCCAGAATTTTTCGAAGTTTTCTTTTGTCAGAACTTCTGGAGATTCGGTTTGTTGGACTTTGATTATGAAATAAGTTGGGATGAAGATCTGTTGTGTGAATGTCACTGCCTCTCAAGATGGAACCTGCTGCCATATTTGAGTTCACCCCAATCATGTATTTCTTCAAGTCTTCACATATAACAGTAGCGGACCTAGAAATTTAAAAATAAGGATCCAAAAATTTTAGTACATTTTTTTCTCAATAAAATAGGTATGCAATATTTTTTATTTTTTCTCATTCGCTTAATATATTGAACTATATTTAAGAACTTATGCAAAATAATGGGTATGCACTTGGTCCCCTAGGAGGCTAAATTCCGCCTCTGCTCTACGAGAGATAGAAGCACAAGGGAAAAGATGAGAGTCAAGAAGGAGAATAAAGTGGAGAGGATCCCTTTCAATCGTTCCTTAAGGTATAAATACTCAAACTACATAAGGCGGCTGATGTTAGACCTATGATGATAGCTATTTGTTGGTTTACTTATAAAGATGGTTACAATAGCATGTTTGATAATGATAAATCATGTAAAACTATTAAATGTCTAATCATGGGTATGCAGTTATCCGGAGAGTATGAGACTCTAAGTGAATCATGAGCGTTGATACTATTTTCGAGAATATTTCTAGATGAATCATGGGTGGAAATATTATTTTTGAATGATATCTTAGGGGATATAACAATTTTTTTTATGAATTTCGGGAAATAATAGGAAAGTAAGGTCTTTTTGTTTGGTTGGTTTTGACTGAAGAACGATTGAAATGTATGAGCAGTGCGACGATTTTGATATGTGAGCAGTTGTTTAATCGTTAAAGAAACAGGACAGACAAATTAAAATGATAAAATGTAAAATAAGATAAAATAAAGTCCAATGAGCGAAAAAATCTAATGTATTAAATTTAGTGAGAAAATTGAAAATTTTTAAAGTTCAGTGAACAAAGTACGAGAAGAGTAAAGCTTAGTGATGAAATTTGAAATTTAGCCTTTTAATTTTACGGTTGGAGAGGATGGGACCTATGTTTAAAATGTTATTTGCTCTTAGCAATTTCATTGATACTTGGGAAATATAGAAATAGACTCGGAATATCCTTTCATATGAAATACTTCATAAGCTTGGTATTGATGCATTCAAGTTATATAAAATTGTTTCTTTAGAGGTGACAGATAAACGTGCATCTTATTATTTTAAAAATAATTGATTTAATAATATTTGAAATCCTCAAAATTATTTTTAAGAAAACTAATATAACCTTCAAATTGTTATTACACTCAATGTCATATTCAAACTCAAGAGAGAAAATTTAATATAACCCCTCGATCAACTGTTTTCGTGATTAAAACACGATAATTCACTATGCATACGAGACAATAGACGATGGTTAATAACTACAAATAAATTAAGTTAATTTTTGACCAAATTCGAAACTGAAATTAAGTTTTTTAAATTTAGAAACTCATATAACGTTTTTTTAAAGAAAATTGATGGTCACATTAGGTTAAAGTTGTTGCGTGTAATTAAACCCTATAATTTGATGCAACGGTAACGAACAAAATGGGAAAAGCGATACAATGGATTGAGGGTGGAGGGTGGAGACTGGAGACTGGAGATCTTACTCGTATTGAGT